TTACATACCTGCTACTGAGAATTGAACAAATGCAATGCTTTTCATTCTGAGTCCGGTGTCATTCCAATGAATGTTCAGGATCTGCCCAGCATCAAAATGGAAAGGGACAATAGCTCTGATGATAGTTCATGTGAAGAAAAAACAAACAAACACACAGTTGGCAGAATAAATTTCACCAAATTCACTGGGAACAGTTCAACTTAATCTGTATGAAGTGAAAAAATGTCACCGTTCAACATTTCAGATAATTGCTGTCACTGAAAGGTATCAAGGCTTTCAGAAAATCACATTAAAACTGAAGTATATGTGATACAATTGGGGTAACATCCAGAGATACATTGCAGCAGTCACAGAAGACAGTAATTTCATATTATTGCTGTCACTGAAAGGTATCAAGGCTTTCAGAAAATCACATTAAAACTGAAGTATATGTGATACAATTGGGGTAACATCCAGAGATACATTGCAGCAGTCACAGAAGACAGTAAAGTCAAATACACAGATGAGACGCCCCCCCAGCCCAGGAAGCACTTACGAATGTAATGCAAATCAAGTTGCTCCTATTTGAAGTAATCGAATTGTGATTTCTTTTGAAAGTATTGGATGTTGTCCAAACTGTTTAACGTTTAATACATTGTAAACAAAAATATAGTATCTTTAGTTGATTGAATCACCCAACATCACCCCAACAAATAGTACTTACCATTCAGGAAGGTCAGAGCCATTGATAGGATATCAACGGTGACAATAAGACAGAGAGGTGGTCTTCTTCTTTGCATCTTCTCCTGCCATGTTTACCATGACAAATGTAATCAGTGCATGCCTGCTTTCCTAGAAGTTGTCCACTGAGAGTTTACCAGTTGACCACTTTTTCATTCTGAGGGGCCTGAGTCAAGTGATGTTCATTGCAATGCTTGGAGTCTGATCGTAAATTGAGATGATTCACAGTCCAACCCACAGAAGCCAATGTGACAATAGAAGTGATGATGGCAGATCACTCCTTGTGAATGAACCAGGTCATTCACACGTTGACAGGCAGTTATCACGCTAGGTTGAGAGTAGGTACACAGCCAAATGATGCTCTCACTGATGTATTAAAAAGTATTGCTCTAAGAGATTTCAACACATGTTTCACTAAGCATATGTGCAAGAATTTTAATAGATATTTATAAAGAGAAACACTTTAGTTAGAATCTCAACAACAAGGAATGTGATTATAGTTTCACACTCCACATTTGTGGTGTCCAAATTCACTGAAAGTTGCCCCAGCTTGTTAGCACTTACTTTAAAACTGCAGTAAATGTGCTACAATTAGGGTGACTTTCAGCCGAGCAATCACGCAGGACTCACACAAAGTAAGTAATGTCAAATACACAGCTGAGACTGCCCCAAAGAGTAGCACTTATTGATGAAATCAGTGCTTCTATTTCCTGTAATGTAATGGTGTTTAATTTGGACAGTATTGTCTGTCAAACTACGAATGAGAACTTGCATTAAACCTGCATTAAAAGTCTTCTTGATTCAAATCCAGACTGTGCACAGCAGATTGGCAGTCCATCAACTTAACCTATTGCTGACATAACTCACACTTATGAAATTACATGCCAGTCTGTGGAGTCTGTGGAGAATAAAGGAGGATGTGATGCACATTGTTTGCCATTGCAATTCTAGCTTTTCATGTTTCTCCACCCACACTTGTTCTGTCTCATGGATCTGTCCAGAGCCTGTCACCTGTAGGCCTTGTATGTGTGAGACAGACTGCACCCAAGCCAGAGGTTGTTGTAAAGTGGAGGCAAAACAACCTGTCTGCGATGAGGGTGGGACTCCAACCCACGCGTGCAGAGCACAATGGATTAGCAGTCCATCGCCTTAACCTCTCGGCCACCTCATCCGAAAGCCTTTTCCCAGATCCTCACAAATAAAATTTTTGCCTAGCATGATACACTTTAACAAACATGTGTTGTGAAGGTCAGACTTTGACTGATCCCTGTTCCTCAAATCAGACATGGTACTCACTCACACCTGATTGTTATGCCATAGACTGAAAACACCTGACACTGATTTCCCCTTCAAACTAACAGCTCACGCTTATGCCCCAACTTGCTAGCACTTACTTTAAAACTGCAGTAAATGTGCTACAATTAGGGTGACTTTCAGCCGAGAAACATCGCAGGACTCACACAAAGTAAGTAATGTCAAATACACAGATGAGACTGCCCCAAAGAGTAGCACTTATTGATGAAATCAGTGCTTCTATTTCAAGTAATGTAATGGTGTTTTATTTGGAAAGTATTGGTTATACCCGAGCATGGTCCACGACGCTGTAGCTTATGTGTGTCAGGATGGCACTGTGCATAGAAAGAACCAACTCCACTGCTTTGTTGCCGAAATACCTGAGCAGGGTCCCTAAGTGAAGCCTATACTTTTCTCAAACAAATTGCATGGGAATACGTTCAGACATTGGTCGACGATGAAGCAAGGCTGTTTTATGTAGTTGTGGCCGAGTGGTTAAGGCGATGGACTAGAAATCCATTGGGGTCTCCCCGCAGCGTTCGACTCCTGCCAACTACGTCTGAAGTTTGGTTTGCCTTTCAGACAGGCCAGTACTTGGCTAGCATTAGTGACAATCTTCCTCACTGTGCATTAATTGCTGTTCACAGTTGTTACATACCTGCTACTGAGAATTGAACAAATGCAATGCTTTTCATTCTGAGTCCGGTGTCATTCCAATGAATGTTCAGGATCTGCCCAGCATCAAAATGGAAAGGGACAATAGCTCTGATGATAGTTCATGTGAAGAAAAAAACAAACAAACACACAGTTGGCAGAATAAATTTCACCAAATTCACTGGGAACAGTTCAACTTAATCTGTATGAAGTGAAAAAATGTCACCGTTTCAACATTTCATATAATTGCTGTCACTGAAAGGTATCAAGGCTTTCAGAAAATCACATTAAAACTGAAGTATATGTGATACAATTGGGGTAACATCCAGAGATACATTGCAGCAGTCACAGAAGACAGTAATTTCATATTATTGCTGTCACTGAAAGGTATCAAGGCTTTCAGAAAATCACATTAAAACTGAAGTATATGTGATACAATTGGGGTAACATCCAGAGATACATTGCAGCAGTCACAGAAGACAGTAAAGTCAAATACACAGATGAGACTGCCCCAACGAGAAGCACTTACGAATGTAATGCAAATCAAGTTGCTCCTATTTGAAGTAATCGAATTGTGATTTCTTTTGAAAGTATTGGATGTTGTCCAAACTGTTTAACGTTTAATACATTGTAAACAAAAATATAGTATCTTTAGTTGATTGAATCACCCAACATCACCCCAACAAATAGTACTTACCATTCAGGAAGGTCAGAGCCATTGATAGGATATCAACGGTGACAATAAGACAGAGAGGTGGTCTTCTTCTTTGCATCTTCTCCTGCCATGTTTACCATGACAAATGTAATCAGTGCATGCCTGCTTTCCTAGAAGTTGTCCACTGAGAGTTTACCAGTTGACCACTTTTTCATTCTGAGGGGCCTGAGTCAAGTGATGTTCATTGCAATGCTTGGAGTCTGATCGTAAATTGAGATGATTCACAGTCCAACCCACAGAAGCCAATGTGACAATAGAAGTGATGATGGCAGATCACTCCTTGTGAATGAACCAGGTCATTCACACGTTGACAGGCAGTTATCACGCTAGGTTGAGAGTAGGTACACAGCCAAATGATGCTCTCACTGATGTATTAAAAAGTATTGCTCTAAGAGATTTCAACACATGTTTCACTAAGCATATGTGCAAGAATTTTAATAGATATTTATAAAGAGAAACACTTTAGTTAGAATCTCAACAACAAGGAATGTGATTATAGTTTCACACTCCACATTTGTGGTGTCCAAATTCACTGAAAGTTGCCCCAGCTTGTTAGCACTTACTTTAAAACTGCAGTAAATGTGCTACAATTAGGGTGACTTTCAGCCGAGAAACATCGCAGGACTCACACAAAGTAAGTAATGTCAAATACACAGCTGAGACTGCCCCAAAGAGTAGCACTTATTGATGAAATCAGTGCTTCTATTTCCTGTAATGTAATGGTGTTTAATTTGGACAGTATTGTCTGTCAAACTACGAATGAGAACTTGCATTAAACCTGCATTAAAAGTCTTCTTGATTCAAATCCAGACTGTGCACAGCAGATTGGCAGTCCATCAACTTAACCTATTGCTGACATAACTCACACTTATGAAATTACATGCCAGTCTGTGGAGTCTGTGGAGAATAAAGGAGGATGTGATGCACATTGTTTGCCATTGCAATTCTAGCTTTTCATGTTTCTCCACCCACACTTGTTCTGTCTCATGGATCTGTCCAGAGCCTGTCACCTGTAGGCCTTGTATGTGTGAGACAGACTGCACCCAAGCCAGAGGTTGTTGTAAAGTGGAGGCAAAAAACAACCTATCTGCGATGAGGGTGGGACTCCAACCCACGCGTGCAGAGCACAATGGATTAGCAGTCCATCGCCTTAACCTCTCGGCCACCTCATCCGAAAGCCTTTTCCCAGATCCTCACAAATAAAATTTTTGCCCTAGCATGATACACTTTAACAAACATGTGTTGTGAAGGTCAGACTTTGACTGATCCCTGTTCCTCAAATCAGACATGGTACTCACTCACACCTGATTGTTATGCCATAGACTGAAAACACCTGACACTGATTTCCCCTTCAAACTAACAGCTCACGCTTATGCCCCAACTTGCTAGCACTTACTTTAAAACTGCAGTAAATGTGCTACAATTAGGGTGACTTTCAGCCGAGAAACATCGCAGGACTCACACAAAGTAAGTAATGACAAATACACAGATGAGACTGCCCCAAAGAGTAGCACTTATTGATGAAATCAGTGCTTCTATTTCAAGTAATCTAATTGTGCTTTATTTGGAAAGTATTGGCTATACCCGAGCATGGTCCACGACACTGTAGCTTAAGTGTGTCAGGATGGCCGAGCGGTCTAAGGCGCGGCGGCTCAGGTCGCAGTCTCCCCTGGGGGGCGTGGGGTTCAAATCCCATTTCTGACATTTGGTTCCTTTGCTGCACCTCTGATGAGGGGGTATTGGGCTGTTCCTGAGAGCTTGTTTAAATAAATGCCCCTGCATAGTTTGGAATTTCCTTTGCATAGTTTTTGGGTCTTTTAGTCAGGATGGTCGAGTGGTCTACGCGCGCGCTGTGTTAAGGTTTCAGTCTCTTCTGGAGGTGTGGGTTCAAATCCCACTTCTGACATGCTGCACTTTGTTGATAAGACTGTTCATAATGTAGTTGACATGCTGGGGTGCAGTTGAGTCGGGCAGGTGTGGTTAGTGTGAATGTGATCTCACGGCAGGTGTTGGGTTTAGTTTGATTACCTGCCTTATTCATGTGCTTGTGTTTCCTGAGGGCGTCGCTCGTGATTGTGTTTATATATGTATGATTGTGTTTATACAACTTAAACACCGGTCTTACCACTAGACAACCAGGGATGAAAACCAAGAAAATGGTGGCCTCTACACTGGTTATGCTGGCCAGTGTCTTCCATCAAAAGCTCATAGAAAATCACATGAGCATCAGCACAGGACCATGGAGCAGTAAGAAGGTGGCTTGGTCTGAGGAATCATGTTTTCTTTCACACCATGTACAGCTTAGGGTTTAATAATAATAATAATAATAATAATAATAATAATAAACTTTATTGGGGTTAGAAATGGCTCGAAAAGGCTTGAAAAGACGCTTTGCCCAGGAGTTGCACTTAATCCTTGTCTTACGCTCAATTCCTGGTAAGGCTTGAAAAGACGCTTGGCCAAGGAGTTGCACTTAATCCTTGTCTTACGCTCCATTCCTGGTAAGGCTTGTAAAGACGCTTGGCCAAGGAGTTGCACTTAAGCCTTGTCTTACGCTCCATCCCTGGAAAGGCTTGTAAAGACGGTCCAATAGAATGGTTAGGCCCGCTGCTCAACCATTCACACTAAATGTAAGCTAACAACTAAACTGTATTATCTCTCTTAACATACTAGAAATGTATTAAATGGTAAAACAGGATATTTGCTGGAATTACTGACTGCTACCGCTGGTGAGTGGCGTGCGCTCCTTTGAGTTAAATGTTTTGTAACTGTGTTTTACGTCAAGTATTAAATGATGTGTATTAACCGTTGCACCCTTGAGCAGTAAGAAGGTGGCTTGGTCTGAGGAATTCACGTTTTTTTCACATCATGTACAGCTTAGGGTTGGGGTTAGAAATGGCTTGAAAAGGCTTGAAAAGACGCGGCTGGCAGGAGTTGCACTTAAGCCCTGTCTTATGCTCCATTCCTGCTAAGGCTTCTAAAGACGGTCCAATAGAATGGTTAGGCCCGCCGCTCAACCATTCACACTAAATGTAAGCTAACGACTAAAGTGTATTATCTCTCTTAACATACTAGAAATGTATTTAATGGTAAAACGGGATATTTCCTGAAATTCTGACTGCTACCGCTGGTGAGTGGCGTAGCTCCTTTGAGTTAAATGTTTTGTAACTGTGTTTTACGTCAAGTATTAAATGATGTGTATTAACCGTTGCACCCCTTGAGCAGTAAGAAGGTGGCTTGGTCTGAGGAATCACGTTTTCTTTCACATCATGTACAGCTTAGGGTTGGGGTTAGAAATGGCTTGAAAATGCTTGAAAAGACGCGCGCCAAGGAGTTGCACTTAAGCCTTGTCTTACGCTCCATTCCTGGTAAGCCTTGTAAAGACGCTGGCTGGCCAAGGAGTTGCACTTAAGCCGTGTTTTACGCTCCATTCCTGCTAAGTCTTGTAAAGACGCTTATGGCCAAGGAGTTGCACTTAAGCCTTTCTTCCACGCTCCATTCCTGGTAAGGCTTGTAAAGACGCTTGCGCGTGGGAAATGACCAAAACATAAAAAAGCCAAGGAATTGCACTTAAGCCTCGTCTCATGGTTCTTTGCGTGGTGTGCAAAAGAATAGAGCACCGGTGTTAGCAAACAGACCCCCGCGGGGAATCGAACCCCGGTCTTCCGCGTGACAGGCAGAGATACTGTCCACTATACTAACGAGGAAATCCTACTTACGCGCTGAAAGACGGTTGGCACTTTGGATAGCATCAAACATAAACGATAAAACCATAAATGATCCAAGAAATTGCACTTAAGCCTTGTCCTGTGCCCCATACCCGTGATGGCCAACAGAATATGGCACTGGACTTGAACTGCACTGGGGCTTTACCTGTGCAAGTTGAAGCCTGCTATGAACCTGAGTCTTAATGCAGAGAATCTTTATGAAGATGAGCAACAAAGCACCTTGGCATTCATCAAACAAGCTCGTGCCAAACACATCTTCCATCCTGGGAAATTGCATTGACGTAAAGGAAGTCAAACGAATCCTGCTTTGAGACAATGTCCACTGTAAAAAGCGCTACACAAATAAAATTGATTTGAACTGAATCGAATGTGTACATGTAAAGTTGTAATGGTCGAGTTCGGGACTCAGGCACAGTCTCAGTGTCTAGGCTTTAATCGTATTTGTTTAATCAAGCCTACCCTGACTAGACTTTCGGCTTGACGCTGCTTCCGGCTTGACGCTGCTTCCGGCTTGACGCTGCTTCCGGCTTGACGCTGCTTCCGGCTTGACGCTATTATATTACTTTTCTTATTTCTATACTTTAAAAAATATATATATTTACTTGAATTTCACAAATATAAACACAGTAGTTTAGATAAAACTAATCGTAATATTGTGGTGTCGCTAAATTCTGGTTTGTTTGTACAAACAACGACTAGCTTGCGATTAGCTTTAGCCCGCTAGCATCGCGGTTAGCAGTAACCGCTAGCATCACCTACCACTAGCCTACCTTTACGTTTGTATTTCATATTTTGAATTTATCACTGTTCTGTTTAAAAAAACAAACAAACAAATATGTCCACCGTCTCTCCTGTTCTGAGTGCAGATGACTCGCTCGAGCTTCACATGGTGTTGCTGGAACTGGAGGATGTGGAGAGGAGGATCCGCGGCTTACTTGACCAGCAGGCCCAGCTGCAGGAGCGACGAACCCTGCGCGAATCATCTTGTGCTTCTGTCCACACACCCAAGGTAAACACACAGTGTGGTATTTCCACTCCCAGCCCCTTCGCCGCGTGTTTCTCTGTGCAGGGATCGTGCGCCAGGACCTTCCCAGCCATGGTCTCCGTCACACCGGGCCCAACACACCTCGGGCCTTGGGTGAACCAGCGGCGGAAGGCAGCACCTCGCGTAAGGCGGTCTCTCCACCACCGGTGTTCCAGATTCCAACCCGGAACCGCTTCGCCCTCTCTGCCAACCAGACCCAACGCTGTGATCGTCGGAGACTCCATCGGGCGTGAACGTCCGTGTAGCTTCATCCAAAGGTAAGGTGCACACACACTGTTTTTCTGGTGCTCGTGTTCTTGATGTCGCTGTGCAGGTATCCAGGATCCTGAAGGACGAGCGCATTGGAGCGGGTGGGCTGCACGCCGGGACGAACGACACCAGGCACGGCAGCACGGAGGTTCTGAAGAGGGACTTCACCAGCCTGATCGAGACGGTGCAAGGCAGATCACCCACAGCGAGGATCATCGTCTCTGGACCTCTTCCCACATTCAGACGTGGAGCAGAAAAGTTCAGTAGACTTCCGCTTTCAATGAATGGTTAGTCTCTTGGTGTAATGAGCAGAATCTAGTGTTTGTTAATAACTGGAATCTGTTTTGGGGGCGCCCTAGGCTGTTTCGTCCTGATGGCCTGCACCCCAGCAGCGTTGGAGCGGGAACTGCTGTCCGAGAACATCTCCAAGGCGCTTCACTCCAAGTGACTCTCTACCGAAAGTACATCTTCTGACAATAACAGTCAGTTTAATCAATGTTCGTTTAATAGTCAATCACCAGTAATAAATACTATTGAGACTGTGTCTGTTCCCCGAGCTATACACATAAATAGGAAATCTCGTAACCTTCGTAACCTAATTAACATAAAATTAAATCATATTGAATGCACAGCCAACATTTTTGATCTGAAGCTAGGACTATTAAACGTTAGATCTCTTATGTCTAAGGCTCTTATTGTCAACGACATCATTACTGACCAGGAATGTAATTTAATGTGTTTAACGGAAACTTGGGTTAAACCAAATGAGTACATAGCATTAAATGAAGCCAGTCCTCCTGGATACAGTTATGTACATCAGCCTCGTTCAACTGGTAGAGGTGGAGGTATTGGTCTTATCCATAGTGAAAATCTAGTCGTCACACAAAACTATAGTCATAAGTTTAATTCCTTTGAAATTCTTTATACCAGTGTAAATCCCATAGCCAAAAAAAATAAGTCAATTCCTCTTACTATTTACAGACCCCCCAGGGCCTTATACTGAATTTCTTAGTGAATTTGCAGACTTTGTATCAAACCTGGTTGTGTCTGTAAATAAAGCATTAATCGTCGGAGATTTTAATGTTCATTTTGATAACCTGGAGGACCCTCTGAGAACAGCGGTCGTGTCCATCTTAGATTCAGTAGGGATTAATCAGAACGTAATCGGGCCTACTCATAATGGTGGTCACACTCTTGACCTCATACTAACATACGGACTAAGTATAGAAAATATTGAAATTATTCCACAGTCTGAAGTTATCTCAGACCACCATCTTATCTCATTCATAATCCGTATGGATTATAATATCTCCACCTCGCCCCGCTACCGCGTAAAACGCACATTCACATCAGCTACTGCACTGAGCTTCATAAATAACCTACCAGAGACATCAGTTAGATTTGGATCAGCGCCTGATCCAGTAGATCTCGACCAGGCAACTGAAAGTTTGGAGTCAACACTCCGTTGCACACTAGATAGAGTGGCTCCACTCAAAAGGAAAATAATTAGACAAAAAAAATTAGCACCCTGGTATAATGATCTAACGCGATCCTTAAAACAGAAATCTAGACAATTAGAACGTAAATGGTGCCAAACCAAGCTGGAGATATTTCAGACAGCATGGAAGGAGAGCCTACTGCAATATAGGAAATCTCTTGTAGATGCTAAAAAGATCTACTTC